AGGAGGAGGAGGAGGAAAGAAAGCAAAGTAAGTGAGCGAGGGTTATTTGTGTTCCAAGATTTCCGATTTTCTTAAGTACAAACAGAGCACCGTCGCGTTCCTGCGAATGGAGGTGTTGGCGTTGACGTATTAGCCAGACAGCTGCCGGGTGTCTTACAACCTGGCTGCGTGGGACAAGACAGACGGTGGGTGGCTCGATGCATCGGTTGATCGATTCATGGGAAAATTCGTTTGTCTTTAGATTCAGGGATTTTCTTGTTCCCAGCACATTCAATTATTTTTCCTGATCGCAAACTTTGAGATGCAATTTTGTCCAGACTGTAAATAGCCACCTGAGTCGGTAGGTCGTTGTATTCAGGTTAATACAACAAGATTGGACTGCGTAATAACAAGAGCACTCTGGGCAGAGAAAGCCCACGATAACGCTGGGCTGTACGCCTGAGTTTATTTAGCTCGTTGGGTTTGGGCAACATGGCTCGGGGAAACTACCAGCCCAATGATTGGTTACCACCATCAAGGTCGATGCAGCCAGTCACAGGAACATAAATTGGGTGAATCTCAGCTTTATCTCGCTTTCCTATGAACAGGCTTAATTAGTATTCCGGAACCCTAAAGGAATGGACCTCTTTTCATGACGATTTAGTTTACTTCCATATCTTCCGTGTGGTCGTCACGGAGTCGTGGATGTTGAGTAACAGAGATCGTAGATGCTGAATGGATTTTCGTTCTACCACATTTCGCCGGTTTTCCAACTTCAGTCTCTCACTCCATGATGCAGGCAACAGCTTAAAAAAGACAAGGGTTTATTCAGACGATGCATATGAGTGGCAGCAAGGGTGAGTCTGTTGTAGTTTCCATAAATCCGTGCAGTTTGCATAAATTGGTGGCGAAAGATATGTGGCAGAACGAGCGCCTAAATCAGAACTCAGGAGGAAATGTTCGGAATAGGTAGACGGGCCACAGACAAGCAGGTCATTACCCAAGTCATCTGTACGAAAATGAACAAGGATTTTGAGGTCTGTTTGACCTGTTCATGGAACACGGTCAAACAGTACAACATGCTCAAATCCGGCATCCTCCCTGTCACGTCCATAAACCCACTGTAAGTCCCTATATCCGTTCAGTCGTTGGTCATACTCCCCCAACTACGTCGGCCGATTCATCCAGCGACCGGAGGAGAACAGGACAGTGCCAACGGGGTCAGTCGTTACGCTGTCCTCTGCGGTGTGTCTTCCGTCATGACGATAGGTCTCCTCTCAATTCGCGACTCATCTCTTCCAGTTTTTTTTGCTGTCTTGAGCTGTTCTCAAATTTTGACAGTGGAGCGGTTTCATAGCCAGTCGAGGATCGCTGTACGCGCTGCAGAGGATCCAGTAAAGCGAAACCAAGCACAGGTTAAAAAACGTAAGAGATCTGGGTGGATAATCTGCGAAATGTGTAGTGCTCCCACACCAGAGGAATCGCATGGCTGACGATTCGAAGGGTTTGGCCGACTCTCCATCAAGTAATCTAAGCTATTCGAAATTATGTTTACGAACTCCTGTCAATGTTTACTTGTGTAATACGTATGCAGCAGGTAATCGCGAATGAGTGTGTAAGCCTAATGACCAAACGCTGTCACGAGCGGCCCAGGTTTATAGCATGATCTAGCCGTTGACACAGGCTAAACTTAACTCCTCAAAGGTAGGCTGTTCCAGTTCAAATATTCGATCCGAAGGCTATTTTGGGACCAACCCACTGTTTGCTGCCCACTAGGGGAACCGGCAATTTTCCTTTCCAAATCTAGAAGCTACTTCACTCTGTGCCCTGAAGGCACGATCGCGGCACTATCGGTCACGTCTGGGGTAGGAGTTATGTACTAAACACGGAATACTGTGAGAAGGCGAAATGGGTTGGATACCAGTGTCGCAACACTCCGTTACTGATGCTAGTATTATTGCAGTTAGTTGCCCATCCTGTAAGCGTTGGTAGAGTAGCATTGGCAGCCGTGGTGGCGGTGGTAGTAGTAGTAGTAGTAGTACTAATAGTAGGATTATTAGTAGTATTCGCCGTATCAGTGGTGGTAGACGGGGGAAAAAAATTTCTTCAGTGTTGCGACACTGTATTCCCGCCAGTGGCCAGTGGTAGTAGTATTAGTAGTAACAGCGGTAGTACTGGTAGTAGTAGCAGTAGTAGTGGTGGTAGTAGTAGTAGTAGTAGTAGTAGTAGTAGTAGTAGTGTTAGTGGTAGTAGTAGTAGTAGTAGTAGTAGTAGTAGTAGTAGTGTTAGTGGTAGTAGTAGTAGTAGTGTTAGTGGTAGTAGTAGTAGTAGTAGTAGTAGTAGTAGTAGTAGTAGTAGTGGTAGTAGTAGTAGTAGTAGTAGTAGTAGTAGTAGTAGTAGTAGTAGTAGTAGTAGTAGTAGTAGTAGTAGTAGTAGTCCGCCCGTAAGGCAGGCTGGTGGGGGAATAGACAATTCTAAGGCAACGGGCTCGTGGCCCGGTGAGTAGAGGCGTTGACTTCTAAACCAACAGGTCGCGAGTTCGAGGCTCGGATGGTCCACACTTCGGGCTTGGGTATGGCTGGCTGACGACGGCTAATAAGCCAGAAATGGCCATTCCAGTCTCCCTTGTCTTTGTCGGTAATACTATTCTGCCAATTCTAAGTGTTGCGACACTGTATTCCCGCCGGCGAAATGGCCTGCCGGAAAAGATTTATGATATTGCCGACGTCTGGAGGAGCTTGTCCAGCTTTTAACAAGGTCAAATAACTCATCTTGAGCTAATGCATTTTTTGTCTTTTGCTATCTCTGCCCCTTGGTGGATACCTTGTTGGCTTGATAGATGCTTGCGTTATGGATCAGCACCTCAATGGGGAATGACTGAGCTTTTGCAGGATTTGCTCGGTCTGGTGGTCCCTCTGTCGTGTGAGTAAGTTGTCATGCGGTCTCTTGTCGTTTTCATAAGTTCGCCGCGGTCATCTCTGTTTGATCCTCGTGCAGGTGCCGGTACACGACTATGTAAACCGGAGGGAGATCAACATGCCCATCGATGGAGTCGGCATCCGACTACCACGTCTCAATTTTGACCCGCTCTATCTTTTACCCACCTCGGTTTAGAGTGTTCGCGCCTTCAGGGCCAAAAGTATCGCCAGTTTCTCCGATCTAATCTGCAAGCTGCGCATCTCGATCTGGCCCCTGAGCTGCGGATCTGCAGTTTTCATCCAGTTTTCCCAAAATAGCTGCACCCCATGTCATTGCAACAGATTTTGACGACGGCGATCAGATATATGGTCCCGCTTAGTCTTTGCCTTTGTGAATTGCCTACTTGTGCCACTTGAGTTGGTTTAATCTAACCCCCCCCCCTTTCGCTCGTTCCCCATCAAGCCTTTCTCAAGTGTTACTATTAAGGTTGGCATTCGAGCTAAAATTAGGCTTAGGCTAAGTGTTCGGGAGTTAGTGGTTAAAGCTAGAGTTCGAGATTGGGGTTAGGTCTATAATTATAAACAAGCGATAGGATTATGGGTTAGGCTGGGGTTAGAGTTAGGACCAAGGATTAGAATTAGAGGTTAATGTTAGGCATTCGCCATCAGCGTTGGTAACTTCAGTTGCATCTTCAGTCGCGGGCAACGTGATATTTGAATTTGACGACATGTTCTTCGCGCTTTCTCCTTCAACACCATTGATCGTCACAGGTTGGGATCAGGTGGCCCGAATTATCTGACCAATGCCCTTACTCTCCCTTTTTCTGCCCTTATACAACTCCTAATTTCCGGTATTTCGAGTCGTGCGCTGAAGTTTTTCGCCCCATTTGTGTATTTAAACAATCTCAACGTGAATGTAGTTTTTTTGTTTTTGTTTCCCGAAAACAACCATCTTTCAGTTTCTTCTACCCCGCCCATAAAAACCCCTCTTACAACCATTCCCGTATTGCAGGAATTCCTGACCACCGTTTTCTCATTTGGGTCAAATATCCGATCGCCACCGATTCTATTGACAATTGCGGAAGCTTTGGTGAAAGGCGGATGTCTAGTGGGTTTAAAGACTACTCATGCTATTAGTCCTTGCCTCGATGGAGGCTGACGGAGGCTCTGAGAAAGTTGTTGAGACTGGCGGTTTCTCTGCTTCTCCTTTCGTTGCCAGATAGTTTTCGGTCAATTTGCTTAGTTACGGTAGTCTTGTCCTGACTTTCCTGTGGGTAAGGATGCAGCACTTCGAAAGCCTGGGGAAAGCCCATAAGCATGTTGGTCAGATGGGCGTCGGAAGGGCTATTCACACAATCCAATCGCCAGCCCCACGTTCGGCAGTAGTTAAGTAGAGACAGTGGGTGGATCTAACCTCACCCATCTGGGCTCCAAAGCGGATGATACAGAAAATTTCGGACAAAAATAATGCCTGCAGCTCAAGCGGCTGGCATTTTGCTGAGGCAAGCTGCCTGTCGCGTCTGTGGCAGCGTATTTTCGGGCTCTCCTGTCCACACGCGCGTTCACCGCCGTTCTTACTAACGTTAGTCGCTAAGCTCGTGCAGGCCATTGTGTCGGTTGACCAGCGGCATGGTAATTATGCCTCTATGATCCGAATCAGCCGCTCCTGTCAGAGTTCGCCTTCCGTCGCTTTTGCACCCTCCATCACCGGGACTTCCGTCTCGGGACGGCAATATTTTACTGAGCAGTAGTCAACGTCACAAGTTACGCGCTCACGCTGGCAAACGAGCCACGACGGAACGCAGCACACGTCTTTCAAGCCGCGCTTATTCGTCTGACCCAGTGTTGCGTCATCGCCAATGAGGACCACGACAGTCCGTAGAACTAGCCCGACTGAGGTCCCCCCAAATAAGCCAACCTCCTTGGAACGTATGCAAGCAGCGCCAACTTCAGCGGACCCGTAAGGCAATCTAAGTCCAGAATTGTTGGAGGGCGAGCGCCAAAAACTTGTCACATGGCTGGTCGTCGGTCCAAGTACCTTGAACCCTCGTCTGCGCTCCACCTCCTAATTACCGTAACTGTTTAAGTAGACTTGTGCATAACAAATTATGACCTCCAGGCATCAGTAGGTGTGCAGTCGCTGAAAGCCTTGGAATCCTCAGGTACTTGAGCCAATACATCCAAGAGGCTGGACCGATTGTGCAATGAGGTCTCCAAATGACATCTCACGAAGTCTTCCCAGCTCTGTGGCAACTCGGAACAAACAAGTTGTCGACCTTAACGCCAGGCGGGTCAATTTTGACCCCTAAGCAGGAAGGCGCGTAAATACCGACCTCTGCGCTTCTACTTCCTCCACATCTGTCGCATTCGCAGTCGACTCCTCCGACCTGCATCCAAAGGGCTGTCATCGGTCGCCTTGCATGCATCACCCACCTCAACCGGAAAAGAGACAACATACAGAACGCGTAGAGGGCCACAGATACTCCGACAGTACTAACGATATAATAGGCTCTTTGGAAGCTCAGCTTTACAAGTGACCTTGACAGTCATGGACAGCATGTGCCCCTAAAACGGGCCACGCATTAGATGCGTCGGACCAACACAGGAGAGTCCGGCAGGCGTCATCACGAAGGTGCACCCACAACAAGTGACAACACTGGGGTGTGGTGGCACGCCCATTTGCGGGCCTACGACCCGCCTACTGGGATCCGTGCCCCCCCCCTCCCACTTTTCTTGCCGTATAGAATCTTGGTCAGTGTATACTAAGAACCAGGGGGTGTGGTGATATGCCTGGGTGTGGGTTTTAGTCCTACCAGCCAATTGAGCCCCCTCCCCCCCGGTCTTCTTGACTCTGTCGCGACACCAGGTCCAGATGGCGGGAGGGGTGACTGCGGTAGATGCAGCGCAAGCCACCCTCCCTGCGCTCACCCTGTTGTGGAGTACACGGCGGACACCGTCGGTCACGACGATCGAACAGTCGTGCATTGGCAGCAGTCGTCAGGCGAACTGACTGATAGATTCGTAGTCCACTGCATCGGGGAAACTGGTCACAGTTTTGATTTTCAGGGGACAGCCGTCTTAGGCAGGGGCACCTCAAGGACAGAACGCCTCACGCTTGAGGCTTGGTACTCAGATGCCAATTCCATAAACAGGCATTTAGACCTTTCTTCGACCTATAAAGCCCTGCGTCACTACATATGCCGTGACGAAGACAAGACAGTCATACGGAGCCTAAAACTGCCGAGCAAACACGGCCTGTCGACCAATTCACCCATAGGGGAACGCAAACGCAGCTAGTCCCAATTGAGGTGACGACACACCATACAGGAGGCCACCGACACTCACAGGCGACGGCCAGTAGGCCAAGGCAGCGAAAGAAGAAAAAAGTCAATCAGCCGAAGGCCAACTAATCCGGCTGTCCACTCAAGATTCTGATAGATTTATCACTAGAAGCTTTGATAATAGAGAGCCGCCCCAGCTCTCTGATCCGGTGAGCGCTTCATTTTCCTCAGAATGGTATTACCGACAAAGACAATGGCCATTTCTGTCTTATTAGTCGTCGTCAGCCAGTCATACCCAACCCCGAAGTGCGCAACACCCGAGGCTCAAACTTGCGACCTGTTAGTTAGAAGTCTAACGCCTCAAACGACTGGGCCACGGGCCCGTTATCCTGTCGGTTGTGATCGGGAATATACAAAGGTAGGGGGCGCTCACCGATCGTTCTTACGGGACTCACTCGTTCCGTTGTGCCTTAAGGGCTCTCTCTCGAGCCCAACCAGCAGCCGTACAGCGGCACATGATAAAGGCAGGGTGCCATTTCCGACGAACGCAATGGAGACTGGAATGGCCATTTCTGGCTTATTAGCCGTCGTCAGCCAGCCAACTAGCAGCCGGTAGTACAACGAGCCCGTGGCTCAGTGGTTGGAGGCGTTGGACTTCTAGCCAACAGGTCGCGGGATCGAGTCCCAGGTGTTGTACACTTCGGGGTTGAGCGTGACGGGCTGACGACGGCTAATAAGCCACAAATGCCCCCCCGCCCCCCCCCCAAGAGGTTTGATCGATGCATCTGAACCGGTTCCCGGGTTATTAGGAATTTTCGTTGATTTGCCCATGAGAGGCGCGCCCTTTCGTAACGCACCTTAAGGAAACACGCACGTAGACGGTGGTTTGCACTTTTAACCTGAAGAAAATCGGTCACATGGTTGTGACTTACAGTAGATATGACATCGTCGGACTGTCATGTCGCCGGGACTGATCCGGAGACACGTTAGGTATCGGGTTTACAAACTTAGACAACAGCAACAGGGCGAGCTACGGGGTGGAGAGGGTTGAAATAAATCCCAAACAGTGCTGAAGTCGTTACAAGTCAAAGACTACGGAAATAAATAAACATGTGGAAGAAGATTGAAGAAGCAATTTAATTGCGGCTAGACAAAAAGGGAACAAACAACGGCATGATTGTCAATCCAGGTTAGCTGAGCAGACACTTCATCGCCGAGACGGAAAGGCGCTCGTGTATACGGGCAAACACATTGACAGTGGACGAAAGGGAGGAGGGGTTTGGACTAATCTAGTCTCCTTCAGGACAGACTGGCGGCACATGTGGAAGGTCGGTGGTGGGAGGGGACAGCGTCTAGGCTTTGCAGAGGGCCCGCGCCTCATCAACAATCGCGTCAGCGTCGATGCGATAGAGGGCAAGCAGTTCAGCGCACTTGCCTGACCGTGGAACCTCGTGGATAGCGAGCATGCGCAGGTTGCAGGATACTCCTGCCTCGCCCAGAGCTGCGGCAACGGCTTCGCCTATGCCACCTGTTAGGAAACAGTAGACACAGGAATCATGTGATCACGGCGGCAAATAATGCAGTGTGCAGCAGTCATCTTTAATGTCCTTTTAGTGACCAAGACCTTTTACTCGACAGGCAAAATTCCACGTTGACTGTTGCCGAAAAAGTTACCTTCTGGTGCGTGGTCCTCAACGGTGATGACACGTCCCTGTGTGTAGGCAACGGATTTGGTGATGAGGTCGCTGTCTAAGGGCTTGATAGTAAACGGATCAATGATACGAAGATTTATGCCCTCCTTAGCGAGTTTCTCAGCAGCTTTGAAGGCTTCGTACAGCGTAACACCCGCAGCAACTACTGTGACGTGGTCTTCGCCACCCTTTGTAAGAGCAGTCAAGCAGAGCTGCAAAAAGAAGAGGGGAGGGACCGAAGGTTGATCAATCGAAAATGGACAGATTGGATCACTGTAGCCATAGGCACGTGACGAAAGAGTGAGTTACGCAAACAGTGGAAAAGTAAATTCAACACTAACCTTTGCCTGACCAATTTTGAACTGTTCATTCTCGTCGTAGATGACGGGAGTTGCAGGGCGACCGGTCCTAATGAAGCAGATGCCTTTCCGATTAGCAGCCAACTCGACAGCTCGTTCGCAAGCGACGGCGTCCGAGGGGTAGAAGACGGTAGAACCACGAACGGCACGGAACATGGCCAAATCCTCCAGAGCCATTTGGCTGGGACCATCCTCGCCTAAACGCACACAGAATGAGTAAGTTACTGTTGCGCATCAATAACTGAAACACCAATGAACGCTGTCCTGCTGCACTACGGCAAACTGGTGGTTTGACGTGTGTAAATGCAAAATAACTACTGAAATCAAGCGAACAGATGCGAGAGTTCAACTAGTTTGTCCGATAGACTAATGGAAATGAATTTAACAGAAAATTGAAAGCTAGCTCAGTGGCCAGGTTGGCCGTGTTATCGCGCTAGCGCCTCTCAAGAGTGAGTTCCCCTGCACGCTAAACTAACAAAGCTTGGGTAAAAGGAAACTTACCGATGCTGACTCCAGCGTGCGAGCCACAGAAGTTGCAATCTGTCTGAGAGATGGCGCCCATGCGAATTTGGTCGAAGGCACGAGTGAGGAAAGCCGCAAAAGTGCTGACAAATGGCACAGTTCGTTCACGCACCGCACAACCAATAGCCACGCCAACCAGGTTTTGTTCTGCAATGAAACACTCGATGAATTGTTGAGGGCGAGAGTCACGCAGGTAGATGCTGAAGGTGGAGTTCTTAGTGTCACCGTCCAGGCCGATTACGCGGGGGTTGGCCTCCCCCAGACGCTGCAGCGCACGACCGTAGGCCTCGCGGGTAGCAATCTGCATAAAAGAAAGGCCACTTCCATTCACCAAAGGCGGGCAATTTACCAGACGACAAAGAGGGTACTGAGTATACAATGCACAGACAGCATTTTGCTCGGCTATTTCATCACACTAATCATTGACGAAGAGCACAAGACTCGGTGGGGCTTATGAAATGATGTTAATCCAACGACACAGGACGCCGGAATTATCTGAGGAAAGACTTCATATATAGCTGTTGAATATAATGAAGCCGAAATCTTGTATTTTGCGTGGAAGTTAGTCGGAGCCGTCGGATGAAGTATGGACAGCATCCTTAAGCCAAAATCTACTTTAAGGTGAACGAGCATAAACAAGTAAAGGAAAAAAGAGGTGCAAAGGATGATGTATGCATTTACCTTATCACCCTTCTTGTATGGTGGCGGATTGGGTAACTTTGTGGAACCAATCAAGTGCGTTTCTTGACAGTCAATCGCAGGCTCCTTCGGACGCAACTTGTGCAGGGTTGATGGAGATTTTAGTTTCTTCTCCAAGTGGGCAAGAACCTCGGCAGAGCAGCTGCCCAAGGGTTTGCCATGCCAGTTCTCCTTGTCGGAAATGCCAGGGAAGTCGTAGCCTTTGAAGGTTCTGGCGAGCAAGGCCACAGGTTTGCCTGAGACGGCACGTGCCTCAGAGAATGCTTTCAGAAGGGCGCTCACGTCGTGTCCATCAACGACGATGGCATGCCACCTGTTGAGTATTCGGCATAACATCAAGAGTCAATAAATAATATACAGAAATTTTAACCCTAGCCCGCGTTTTGTTAGAGCATTGTACGTTAGAAAAATCACCAAGTGGTGTATCAATCGTGCGAGCCTACCCAAAGGCCTCGACGCGTTTCCTGTATACATCCATATCATGCTCCAAGCAGGTCGGCTGACTCTGGCCGAGACGGTTAATGTCGAAAATGGCAACCAAATTGTCCAATTGGTAGTGCGAGGCCAGTG